GACCCCGTTGAGGTGGAAGCCCAAATCTGCCATCAACAACACGAAGCAGCTGAGATAGCAGCCACACGAAAGGGGAACATGCTCCTATTACTCCGACACCAGGTTTAAGACCAGGAAAATATAAGCCAGCGGCAGAACATATGCATCAGGGGCTTACCTGAATCCGACATTACTCCACTGCCTACCTACTGGAGAGCCTGTTCTGCAGGTACTTGGCCCGGATGCTCCTACAACAATGACCCTTGACAGGGCCCACAGAGCCCCAGGCCCCCCACAACCCTACGGGAGGCCACATGATGTAATCTGCTGTCTGCATGAATTCCAGCTCAGAAGGCAGCTCATGGCGGCCACAAGGTCCACACCGGTGATGAAGTTCCACAACACGGAGGTCTCCCTCTACCAGGACCTGTTGGGCATGACTGTAGATGCACGGAGAGTCCTCTGCCCAGTGATATTGGCCCTCAGCGAGAAGGGTATAGGCTACAAATGGGGCTTCCCCTTCAGCCTCCAGGCCAAACATGATAGCACGTGGATCACAGTCCAGTGTCCCAGCGACCTTCCGAGACTCCTGAGGGAGCTCTGCCTGCCTGCTATACGCATCAGGATCTGGCTTCTGGAGGATCCTGTAGCCCAAGAAAGAGCGTATCACCCGTCAATAGGAGCTGAAAAGCCCAGCAGGGACGCTCGCCACCCCCAAGATGTTGGGGTGGCCCAGGAAGCTCAGAAGAATAATCCCCTCCACAAAGGCCAGCGACCAGGACCTTGCGCTTACCAGCAATCAGCTACTGATTGAGAACGGGTGGTCCTTGACACGCAGGGGGGTGGGGATGACTGTCAGTGATCCCACAGTTATCAGGTGCCTGCACTCGGAGTCCTGCAGAGGGAGGGATTGGGGCCGGGGTGGGGGAGGGTAGGCATAGTACCCAACTATACAGGCATATGTTGTACAACGCTACGGAATTTGCTGGCGCTATATAGATAATAAAACAATAATAATAAAAATAGAAAGTGTAAGGGTTTGTTAAAACAGTAGAAAGGTGCTACAATCACCTATGTGGGTCACTTCACCACATACAAGTGCAATACAATAAAGTCAAACAAATCGGTGAGAGCACACTAAAAGACATGCATATTACCACTCATGTATATATGGAAAAATCCTGTTGAAAACAAAACAGGAAACAAACATAGGGTAATAACGTATTGATTTTGTGAAAACTAAAATAAAATCAGTCTCACTCACATGGTGCTGAGTCACTTAACATAAGCTGGCTCAGACTAAAGATATTGAATGGATAAGTGTAGATGGTCTCAAGGTGTCAGACTGTCGTTTTCTTGTTGTCCTTATGGTATTTTCACAGATATTTCAGGATGCAGGATATCAGGAAAAAATATATTTATTGAATAAAATAAAATGAGAAGACAGCTTGTTAAAACAAAGTAAAATAGTCCACTACAAAAATAAACAAGTACTTAACGCATTTTGGCGTTAACCTTTTTCAAAAGTACATTCTCCATTCTGTGCGCCCAGGTCTTTAAAAATGCCAGTATTGGTGCCGGACGCAATAACACGCTAGCGAGGATATATTCCCCGAATACGAACCAACACCGTGACGAACCTCAAAAAATTCAGAGACCGACTCCTGGTGGTGTCGGGGGATCTCAACATTGCATTGGACCTTAGAATGGACACACCTAGAGGACACTGCTCCATTCCGCTGTGGAGCCTCGGTAGCCTGGAATATAGCTGGAGGGCCATGCACCCGGACGTCAAGGATTTCACCTTTTACTCCTCAGTACATAAACAGTACAGAAGACTGAACTACATATTCATCGTGCAGGAGTTTCATATCTGGTCTACCCGAATCAAGTTAGGTTTATAGCGGGTAGGGAGGCGAGAGACAACACCATACAAGACAATCAGCATGGATGCTCCTCCTCCTCCCTACTGACGTCAAAAAGGCGGTCGACTGGGTGGACTGGCAATTCATATTATCTACACTGAAGACTATGGGATTTGGGCCACATATTCTCTCTTGCATAGACTCTATCAAGATCCATGTGCCTGCTTGTGCATCAACGGCACCATATCACCATCTTTCCAGATAAAGAACAGGACAAGACAGGGATGTCACCTGTCCCCCCTCCTGTTTGCCATCACTCTGGAACCTTTCCTGGAGTCGGTCAGACTGGACGGGGGTATTATGGGGTTCATTTCTGGTGACACCAAACACAAAGTGGCCGCATATGCCGACGACCTGCTCTTTTTTTGGAAGCCCCCCAAATCTCACTACCGAACCTCCTTCTGAGCTACCGAGAATATGGTCACCTGTCTAACCTAAAACTTAACATGGAGAAGTCGGAAATACTACCTGTTACCCTAACACATTCAGAAACTGCCCACTTATGCTCCCAATTTTCCTTCCACTGGTGCGAGCACAGAATACACTACCTCGGCATCTGGCTCACCAGGGACCACTCCTTATTCTACCAGGACAATTTCCAGCCCATCCTATGCACTCTACAGTAGAATCAATGCAGTAAAGCTCAACCTGCTCTCGAGGCTCTTATTCCTCTTCCAAACCATTCCTATAACCATACCACAGGCATTTTTGCAATCGCTCATAGTATAGTATGAGGATAGAATATAGTATAGTATGTGGAGACAATAGCATATAGTATAGTATGAGGATAGTATAGTATGAGGATAGAATAGAATATAATATAGTATGAGGATAGAATATAGTATGAGGATAGAATATAATATAGTATGAGGATAGAATATAATATAGTATGAGGATAGAATATAGTGTGAGGATAGAATATAATATAGTATGAGGATAGAATATAATATAATATGAGGATAGAATATAGTGTGAGGATAGAATATAATATAGTATGAGGATAGAATATAGTATGAGGATAGAATATAGTATGAGGATAGAATATAATATAGTATGAGGATAGAATATAGTATGAGGATAGAATATAATATAGTATGAGGATAGAATATAGTGTGAGGATAGAATATAATATAGTATGAGGATAGAATATAGTGTGAGGATAGAATATAATATAGTATGAGGATAGAATATAGTGTGAGGATAGAATATAATATAGTATGAGGATAGAATATAATATAGTATGAGGATAGAATATAGTATGAGGATAGAATATAATATAGTATGAGGATAGAATATAGTGTGAGGATAGAATATAATATAGTATGAGGATAGAATAGAATATAATATGAGGATAGAATATAGTGTGAGGATAGAATATAATATAGTATGAGGATAGAATATAGTATGAGGATAGAATATAGTATGAGGATAGAATATAATATAGTATGAGGATAGAATATAGTATGAGGATAGAATATAATATAGTATGAGGATAGAATATAGTGTGAGGATAGAATATAATATAGTATGAGGATATAATATAGTGTGAGGATAGAATATAATATAGTATGAGGATAGAATATAATATAGTATGAGGATAGAATATAGTATGAGGATATAATATAGTGTGAGGATAGAATATAATATAGTATGAGGATAGAATATAATATAGTATGAGGATAGAATATAGTATGAGGATAGAATATAATATAGTATGAGGATAGAATACAGTATCGCATGAGGAGGGAATCAAATATGGTATAGTATGTGGATAGAATATAGTACAGTATGTGGAGAGAATGGAACATAGTATAGTATGTGGATAGAATATAAGATAGTATGAGGATCAGGGCCGTCTTTAAGGAGGAGCAAAAGGGGCAGCTGCCCCGGGCCCAGTTACTCCTGGGGGCCCTAAGGCAGCTGCCCCATGGGCCCCCTGCAGCACCTGAGGTAATCAGGGGCCACAGCCCTTTAATACTGCTCTGGACCGGGCCCTTGTAATATAAGGGTTGGCTGAATACAAACACACAGCTAGCCCCCTCACACACTGCCCTGTGATCCCTTTTCTTCTCCGTGGCATGCTGGGAGGCAGTGAGGTCAGATCACTTCCTCCTCAGTGCCGCTGGGGAGGAGGCACACACCACACGGAGGAGGATGCAAGCATTGTTGGGGAGAGGGACTGAGAAAGCTGATGGCAGACTCCCATCAGCCTGGGCCAACAAGCTCCCACTGGACCCCAGGGAAGCCACCTTTCTGTACCCAAAAGGTAAGGAGACAGGAGGGTGGCTAAATATGTTTTGTTTTTTGTTTTGCTAATTTCTGATATCACTTTTATTCAAGTGTTGGTGTTTGTAATGTAACACACAGGGAATAAGTACATGTTAAAAATCCTAGAAGAACCTGACAGTTCCCTATTAAATATAAATTTTAAAAGTATTTATTTGAACATATTATTGCATCAAGTGTTATCAAAGGCTGTACACCATTTTCAAATGTCACTTTTGCCAAATTCTGGACCAGGGTATGTAAGAACAGAGTTGAGACATTATTATGGCCAAGGTTGCTGGGAGTTGCTGTCCAAGAGCTGCTAGAAGGCAGAGATTAAAATATGTAAATGTACACATATATGTGTGTGTGTATCTGGCTGTGTTTATGTCCTTGTGTGTATCTGGCTGTGTTTGTGTCAGTGTGTGTATCTGGCTGTGTTTGTGTCAGTGTTTGTATCTGGCTGTGTTTGTCTGTGTGTCAGTGTTTCTGTGTGTATGTATACCTGTGTATGTGTACTTGTGTGTGTGTGTTGTGTACCTGTGTGTGTGTGTGTGTGTGTGTATGTGTCAGTGTGTAAGTGTGCATCTGAGTGTGTGGTAATGCATACATCCCAGCATTTTAATGCCAACACAAATACACTCCATCTCTAGCACTGTACACATATACACCCCTGCATTTATACCTTTATGTATGTGTGTATCTGAGTGTGTGTGTACCTCTGTATGTGGATGTGCCAGTGTGTGTGTGTATCAAAGTGCTTGTATCTGTGTGTTAAAGGGTGTGTATCTGAGTGTGTGTGTGTATGTGCCAGTATGTGTCAAGGTGTGAGCATGTGTCAGTGTGCCTATGTGTGTATCTGCGTGTTAATGTGTATGTGTATATGTGTTATAGAAATCACACAACATGCAAACAGAGCCCTGCAAACACAAACATTACATACAAACACACCAGTTTGCTGAAACACCAATACTACACACAAATGTACACAACACTACATCCAAACAACCCCCTGCATGCAAATACAAACATTACATACAAACACATTCCTGTATTAAAACGCTAAAATTATATACAAACACCAACTATACACACAAAAGTACACCTGCATTTAAAAGCCAACACTACAGACAATCACACATTACTGCATTCAAACGCAAACACTACACCACTGCATTCCAATGGTAACAGTACATACAAATACACCCCTACATGCACACATACACTCTATACAATAACATGCTGACATTCAATTGCACAAACACTGCTCAAAAATACAACCCTGCATAGCATTGCAGGAGTTGTATGACAGATGGGGATCTATCTTTTCTTTACTCTTGTGCTACAGGGCAGGCCTGAATTATTATTTTTTTGCACCAAGGCACTCTCTACATTAGTTTCGCCTCTAGGTTAGGGTGGAGGGAGTGATTGCATGCCCAGGGGGCCCAAGCAGATGCTTGCCCAGGGTCCAATCAATATTAAAGACGGCCCTGATGAGGATAGAGTATAGTATAGTATTTGGATAGAATATAGTATGAGGATATAATATAGTATGAGGATAGAATATAATATAGTATGAGGATAGAATACAGTATCGCATGAGGAGGGAATCAAATATAGTATAGTATGTGGATAGAATATAGTACAGTATGTGGATAGAATAATATATAGTATGAGCAGAGAATAGAATATGGTATAGTATGAGGATAGAATATAGTATAGTATGAGGAGAGAATAGAATATAGTATGAGGAGAGAATAGAATATAATATAGTATGAGGATAGAATATAGCAGGCGTAGGGAATCTTTTAGCAGCACTGTGCCGAAATATGATTGTGATGTGCCGTAGCGTGTCAGTCCTATTTGTTTAAATTGAGGTGTGCATGTTGCCATATTCTGCTTGTGTTATTTATACTGCAGTTGCTTTGTATCATAGTTGTGCATATATGAGCTATTATATTGTATATGTTCATTAATAGTTTGTGGTATCATGTATAATATCTATGAATTTGGGCTGTGTATTGGGGCTGCTTGTGGAATTGTGTGTGTGTGTGTGTGTGGATGGATATGCCACATTGTGTGTTTAGTAGTGTGTGTATGTGTGGGGCTGTTTTGGGTATTGCATGTGAGAGGCTGCAGGTGGGGTTGTGTGTATGTATGTGGATTGTTGGTGGTGTTGTGTTTGTGCGGACTGTGTGTGTGTTTGTATGTGAGCTGTTTTTACTATTTGTTATTCTGCAGCTCTATGTATATCTAGCAGTCCGGGAGGCTTCCTTGGGTTTTAGTGGGGACCATGCTGGCCAGGTACAGCTCAAGGACAGAAGCTGCAACAGGAAGCTGTGGGCTGTTCTACTCCAGTGTGAATTCCCATTTACAAGTGCTGGGAGGAAGTGATCTGAGATCACTTCCTCTACGTTCTGCAATGCATAAATGGAGGATTGTCCTTCACCACCTTTTCGTGTTAGCAGATATCTGAAGTTTCACTGGGACTCCTGATAGGACAGAGCCTGTTTGGCTCTTGTAGCCTTGAGCGCCGTGGAAAGGCACCTCGAGTGCCATGCATGGCACTAGTGCCATAGGTTGCCTACCCCTGGAATATAGTATAGCATGAGGAGAGAATAGAATATGGTATAGTACAGGGGTAGGCCTACCGCCGTAGGTTGCCTACCCCTGGTATAGTATGAGGATAGAATATAGTATAGCATGAGGAGAGAATATAATATAATATAGTATGAGGAGAGAAATGAATATGGTATAGTATGAGGATAGAATATAGTATAGTATGAGGAGATAATAGAATGTAGTATGAGGAGAGAAATAAATATGGAATAGTATGAGGATAGAATATGGTATAGTATGAGGAGAGAATAGAATATAGTATAGTATGAGGATAGAATAGAATATAGTATGAGGATAGAATATAATATGGTATAGTATAAGGATAGAATATAGTATGAGGATAGAATATAATATGGTATAGTATAAGGATAGAATATAGTATAGTATGTGGAGAGAATAGCGTATAGTATGTGGAGAGAATAGCGTATAGTATGTGGAGAGAATAGCGTATAGTATGATGATAGAATATAGTATAGTATGAGGATAGAATAGAATATAGCATGAGGATAGAATATAATATGGTATAGTATAAGGATAGAATATAGTATAGTATGTGGAGAGAATAGCGTATAGTATGTGGATAGAATAGCGTATAGTATGTGGAGAGAATAGCGTATAGTATGTGGATAGAATAGCGTATAGTATGTGGAGAGAATAGCGTATAGTATGTGGATAGAATAGCGTATAGTATGTGAAAGAATAGTATAGTATGTGGAGAGAATAGCGTATAGTATGTGGATAGAATAGCGTATAGTATGTGGAGAGAATAGCGTATAGTATGTGGATAGAATAGCGTATAGTATGTGGAGAGAATAGCGTATAGTATGTGGAGAGAATAGCGTATAGTATGTGGATAGAATAGCGTATAGTATGTGGAGAGAATAGAATATAGTATGTGGAGAGAATAGCGTATAGTATGTGGATAGAATAGCGTATAGTATGATGATAGAATAGCGTATAGTGTGAGGATAGAATAGCGTATAGTATGTGGAGAGAATAGCGTATAGTATGTGGAGAGAATAGCGTATAGTATGTGGAGAGAATAGCGTATAGTATAGTATGAGGATAGTATAGTATGAGGATAGAATAGAATATGGTATAGTATGTGGAGAGAATAGCGTATAGTATAGTATGAGGATAGTATAGTATGAGGATAGAATAGAATATGGTATAGTATGAGGAGAGAATAGCATATAATATAGAAACATAGAATGTGACGGCAGATAAGAACCATTCGGCCCATCTAGTCTGCCCAATATAGTATGAGGATAGTATAGTATGAGGATAGAATAGAATATGGTATAGTATGTGGAGAGAATAGCGTATAGTATGTGGAGAGAATAGCATATAGTATGATGATAGAATATAGTATAGTGTGAGGATAGAATAGCGTATAGTATGTGGAGAGAATAGCGTATAGTATGATGATAGAATATAGTATAGTGTGAGGATAGAATAGCGTATAGTATGTGGAGAGAATAGCGTATAGTATGATGATAGAATATAGTATAGTATGAGGATAGAATAGAATATAGTATGAGGATAGAATATAATATGGTATAGTATAAGGATAGAATATAGTATAGTATGTGGAGAGAATAGCGTATAGTATGTGGATAGAATAGCGCATAGTATGTGAAGAGAATAGCGTATAGTATGTGGAGAGAATAGCGTATAGTATGTGGATAGAATAGCGTATAGTATGTGGAGAGAATAGCGTATAGTATGTGGATAGAATAGCGTATAGTATGTGGAGAGAATAGCGTATAGTATGTGGATAGAATAGCGTATAGTATGTGAAAAGAATAGCATATAGTATGTGGAGAGAATAGCGTATAGTATGTGGATAGAATAGCGTATAGTATGTGGAGAGAATAGAATATAGTATGTGGAGAGAATAGCGTATAGTATGTGGATAGAATAGCGTATAGTATGATGATAGAATAGCGTATAGTGTGAGGATAGAATAGCGTATAGTATGTGGAGAGAATAGCGTATAGTATGTGGAGAGAATAGCGTATAGTATGTGGAGAGAATAGCGTATAGTATAGTATGAGGATAGTATAGTATGAGGATAGAATAGAATATGGTATAGTATGTGGAGAGAATAGCGTATAGTATAGTATGAGGATAGTATAGTATGAGGATAGAATAGAATATGGTATAGTATGAGGAGAGAATAGCATATAATATAGAAACATAGAATGTGACGGCAGATAAGAACCATTCGGCCCATCTAGTCTGCCCAATATAGTATGAGGATAGTATAGTATGAGGATAGAATAGAATATGGTATAGTATGTGGAGAGAATAGCGTATAGTATGTGGAGAGAATAGCATATAGTATGATGATAGAATATAGTATAGTGTGAGGATAGAATAGCGTATAGTATGTGGAGAGAATAGCGTATAGTATGATGATAGAATATAGTATAGTGTGAGGATAGAATAGCGTATAGTATGTGGAGAGAATAGCGTATAGTATGTGGAGAGAATAGCGTATAGTATGATGATAGAATATAGTATAGTATGAGGATAGAATAGAATATAGTATGAGGATAGAATATAATATGGTATAGTATAAGGATAGAATATAGTATAGTATGTGGAGAGAATAGCGTATAGTATGTGGAGAGAATAGCGTACAGTATGTGGAGAGAATAGCTTATAGTATGATGATAGAATATAGTATAGTGTGAGGAGGGAATATATGACATTATGAAGATAGAATAGAGTATAAATCAGCCTGCGCATACAAATGATTGCGTTGCTCACACACAGAATATATTCCCCTCCCACGTTCAGGAATAGCAGGGTCTTCTGGGAGTTCTGATAGCTTAGAATCAAGAGGTTAAACAACTTAATCCTGCATTACCTGATTGTATCCATTCATCAATCGATTTACTATACAGAGGAATATGACACATTTATTTATCCAACAAATAGATCAGAGTGCAGAGAATCACGGCTAGTTCTTTTTCTGGACGATAAAAAAGTAAAGCGAGATAGGTATATAGATAATTCAGCCTTGCCATGTAGCTAGGGGCTCTGCTATGATTCCCAAGTACGGTTTGGATATAATAAAGGTGTGTATGTGTGCGAGACACTGACAGAGTGAAGGAATTCCTAGCAAGGTCCATAAAGAGGTCCGTGTGATAGAAACAGGTGAGACCCTAACAGGCTGGGATTGGCTGTAGGATCCATAAGACTATTCTTTAGGTGATGACAAGGAATGTTGCAACTCTATTTGATGGTCACGTCTCTCTAAACATTCAATTGATGGACATAGCATTTATATACAACCCTAGCCTCCTACATTCCCATTTTTTATCCTAAACCAATTTTTATCTCAGTTAGAATTTTTCTTTTCGGGTTTCTCTGGCTTTTCCTGTCTTTCATTTGTACTCACACCCCTCCTTTCTCGGATTTGTTTCTCTGTCAT